GGGAAAAGACTGGAAATAAATTATTTGCATTGATATGTCCTGATGACAATTTTAAAGAAAACAAAAAAAGTATTTGCATAAATTGAAGAATTATTTCCTATGATTGAGAAGTTATGTTGGGGGAGGGGGGCGATGACAACTTCCTCATTGGCTCAAGGGGGCGATTCGTTCAAAAAGGTTAAGAATAAGGTGACCAACTTTTTAACAATGAAAAGGAGGACACAAATAAATTGAAGAAAAAATATTGTAAATAAAGAAACATTTTATTCATTGCAACAATAATACAGACAACTTGCATATGCAAAGTTTGCCAGCCGGGTGTTTTGGCGTGCTCAGCAGCAATTCCTATTGGCTTTCGAAAGCCAATAGTGGGAGAAGCACAGCTCATGCAAAAGTTGAAAAAAAAAACCATTAAAAAAAGGTGCCGGAATGCCGTTCTGAGCATTCTATGAGAAAAAAAAAAGCCCTGCAGATTAGTCTTCAAATATCGAAAAGTAGGACATGTAGGAGGACACTTTTTGAGGGAGGACAGAACTTACAAAAGGAGGACTGTCCTCCCTAAAGGAGGGCGGTTGGTCACCTTAGTTAAGAACCACTGACATAGAGTACTATCCTGATGAAGAAAGTTGCTCAGTTAGTAGAATTGCAGTTCTGCTGCTTCAGTGACACTCATAGCCAATAGGAATCTGTAAAAAAAATGCATTTTGGGGTGCATATAAATGTTTAGGGCGAAAGTCACCTTTCTTAAATCTTAAATTTCTGCTAAGATGCCCGTGCAGGTAATGGATTCACAGAGAAAATATTCTGTAGTGGCATAGATCTAATATTTTTAACAGTGTAATCTATAACTAGGCTTAAAATTATTTAATTCAATTTAATGTATTTAATTCCTCTTATGCATCAATAGTTAATTGGTGCGTTTTCCATTCTGATACTACTATGAGCCGAGGTGGCGCAGCAGTTAGAGTGCAGTACTGCAGGCCACTTTAGCTGACTGTGTTCAGCAGGTCAGTGGTTCAAATCTCACCGGCTCAAGGTTGACTCAGCCTTCCATCCTTCCGGGGTAGGTAAAATGAGGACCCAGATTGTTGGGGGCAATGTAAATATATATATATACATTGCTTACTGGTGTACACCGCTTAGAGAGTGCTTGCACTTAAAGCGGTATATAGGTCTCATAAATAAATAAATAAATAAATCTAGATGTGTTGAAATTCCTGGTCATCATATCTTAAGGCCTTATGGGCTTGGAAAGTCCTGGCACACGGTGATTGTACCTGCTAGTTATAATTTCTCAAGGTGAATCATTAAGCCATCCACACCCTGGAAACCATAGGTTCAGTCTTAGACTAAAGGGTCAAAATTACATATTCCAGAAATACAAAAATAATGTATTGATACATTTATGATATATTCATACATTTATCAATATATCATTTTTGTATTTCTGGAATATGTAATTTTGACCCTTTAGTCTAAGACTGAATCTGTGGTATCCAGGGTGTGGATGGCTTAATGATTCACCTTGAGAAATTATAACTAGCAGGTATAATCACCGTGCACCAGAACCTTCCAAGCCCATAAGGCCTTAAGACATGATGATTCATTCATAATTTGATATATTCATAATAGCTGAAAAAAAGATGAAAAGTAAACAGAGAAGATAGAGAAGTAGCCCAATTAAACACTTGAGTTCCAGAGAACAGCAAGAAAAAATGACTTATATTTAAATAAGCAATAAAAAGAAATTGACTATTGTAATTAAATAGAAGGATGAGATATTTATTTAGGAATGTTACAGAAATCAAAGGACCTTTTAATGAAAATATGGCTATAATAAAAGACAAATATCTACTGAAGAAGTATTATATAAAGATCACATAGAATAAACACATGGAAGAATTGGACAAAAAGGGTCCCCAGATCAATAGTATGTATGATGCTTTGATTACTGAAGGAGAGCCAGACATTCTGAAAAAGAAAGTTAGAAAATATTGCTAACAACTTCAGTTGGCCAATAAATGATCAGCCTGCCTCTGCTCGGGAATTCATTTGATTGTATCACCAACAGAATGGTCAGTGAAGTCTGTCAGGAAGAGCCATGGCAAAAACTGTCAGAATAAGGGAAGCCACTATTACCACACCAGATCAGCTAAGCATAATTTAAAGTTGCCTCTGGAATCAGCTGAAGATCAGATGGATATCACATTATCTGGGACAGAAAAGAAAACCAAGTTTGACTTTCTCAAAGCCTAGCTTGACAAATCCCTTATTCAGTAGCAGGTTTCTGTAATGTACACCTTCCATATATGTCAAGCGTGAATGCTAGTGGTTCTAATCAAACATGTCAAGACATGTCTAAGTTGGGGAAAGCTGTTTTAGTCCCGTGGATGCTGTGTGCATGCTAATTTTGAAACTTCCTAGCTTCCTTACAGAACAGTTCTGAATTCTGAAAGTCATTCATAACACCCAGAGACACTCAACAGATTTGAAATCACACTTGTGGCATTTCATAGATATTTAGATGGCATATTTGCTACTAATTGTACAGCGCAGTAGTACTGTATTCTTCTTACCTCTTTTTATCATCATCATAATGTTGTTAGTGTGTAGGGTACTCTAGACATTGCTTACAGTATTTGCTCAGGAATTATAATCAGGTAGACAGAGATGTACATGGATTAAAGGGAGTGAAGAACATGAGCAAATACAATTATAGGTAACAAAATGCCAGGCTAAAATCTCTACCATATATAAGAGTTGCTTTAATTAAAGATCCCATTATAAGATTTCCAGTGGGTTTTATAAAGCAAGCCAGTTAATTGCAGAAATTTGTACATTCAGTTATTGCTCAAGAAAAAAAACACACTGTGAAAAATGCTTACAGTATTTCTTCATAAGGTGGATGGTTCTTCGTTTGTGAAAACTCCTGCTTTGTCCTGTATCCTGAGGTTTCTTCTGCCTACTTAAAATAAAGCTGTGGTGCCTTGCTATCATGGAAAGCAGCTGGTTTTTGGCTTGGTGTGTTATGTGACCCCAGCCACTAAAATTATTTCATGGTTCAACATGTTGTACGAAGCCAGGATATTTTATTAATTGGGTAAATTGTGGCTTAGTGAGTTAGAATGTTGTGAAAACATGAAGTTTGGAAAATAAAATTAAGCAGATGAAGCAAATTCAAGTGGAAAATGATATTTTGATGAGGGGAATGAAGAAAGGCAAAAGGCCTGCTTTTCCTTGCATCAGACAACTCTTTGTCCAAATTCATTGTCTTTGCAAATGTGTCATGATTATTTAATTGTATATATTAAGGATATATGGTGGTTTGGATTCAAAATCAAAAAAGGGTCTCAGAGAGTGAAGAAGCACAAACATTAACAGTTATCTGTAACTCCTTAAAGCATCCAAGTTATTTCTTGGGATTGTGTACTGTAATTACCCTATGCAAATGTATGTTAATGGTGTTAATTTAGCTTGTATTCTGGATTTTAGCTCAGAAGATTTCATTCTCTAACTTTTCTGATTCGTCTACTACTTGTACATACAGAATTTAACTGTCAGAAAAACTTAACATCCATGCATCTCTTTATAAATTTGGTCCTTGAACCTTTTAAATTAAACACATATATCAATGCACTTATTTGTTTATTTAAAGATTTTATTTATTTATTTTTACTTATTTATGTATTTATAAATTACTTTGGTTAAGGCTATTCTAAGTGGTTATAGAGAGCCAGGACGATGACAGTGATGGAGATATGCAAGAACCATTGCCAAGGCAGAGGGGGCTAAGGGCATTTTTTAGATCCAGAACAAAAAGCTAACACTCAGAAGCAGCTTAGTCAGACACCTCCCTATTTCACTGAACTTTAGAAGGAGGAGGAGATACAGCACATTCAGATTTACAAGATCCTATCATTATAGCCAATCTCAATAAAAGTAGTTTTAGCCTTCCTGTGTAAGTTGACTCCTGATCTGATCTGCCTAAATGGGGTTGACTGCGACATACAAAAGAAACACTCACAATGTAATATTTATATAATATATATAAAAACTTCCATAAAATATTTCAAAATTACCAATCAAGTTTAAATCAGTAATAAAACAGTGATGTTAAAATGGTTAACGTAGGTCATATACATTAGAATGGTTTCTATTTTGTTGCCTCATCCAACCCATTACTGAACCCATGTACAGTATTTTATTCAGGACACACACAATCTTTTCTGATTCATATGTTATGAAGAAATAAAACTTTGCATCATAAGCATATGGATGGTATTTCATCCCAGAACTTTATATAATCAATCCAGTTGTTATCAAAACAGTAGTTAAAAAGCACAGAGTACAAGTCAGTCACTTGTGGCATCATAGAGAATTTTTGCTGAGGTATTAAGGCACAATCAATCCAAAGCTACTCTCTTAAATCGTCTCTACAAGCAGGCATGGAATCAACAAAGAACAATGCTTCCAATCCCTATCTCACAAATATAATGCAAAAGGATAAAGTAGAGCAGCATTTATCCATCGTGGCAACTCTAAGATGTGTGGACTTTCATTTCCAATATTCCCCAGCCAGCCAATTCTGGGAGTCGAAGTTATGCATTTTAAAGTTGCCAAGATGGAGAAACACTTCCATAGAGATTATCCATACTTAGCACTACTAAAAACCATCAAGAGGTTTAAAAGGATCAATAGTCATCCTGGCTTTGTCTCTTTCCTATGGAAGGTCTTTGGTAAGGGAGTATGTGGCTAATTCGCTTACAAAACCTAGCCTGAGTGCACAATGATCCAGATAAAAAGTTTATTTTGAGACCATCTGCAGCTATATGAACATTCTTATAATACATTGCTCCCCAAATGGGGTATTCATGATTAGGGGGTAATGTTTTCAAACAATTACGGTAATTTCTATTTATTCCAGCAGGATATCAACAACCTGAAAGTGGAACGTTTTGTGCCAAGTTTTATAAGGTCTGTTTGTCTTTGTTTTCTTCCAGATGGTGTCCAGCTGATTGCAGTCTTGGCATGGCAGTTATCTGGAAGAAGTAAAATGTGTTCCCATGAAGCACATTCTCTGTTTTGCCATGATGTTCTGTATCTGACATGAGTTACTTCTTTGTACGATCTCAGCATTGGTAACAAAACTGAAATATGTAATGCCAAGGATCTTTCTTAGACAGTGCTGGTGAAACATATTTAATCCTTGGGCCTTTTCACTGTGTCATATTCCGTGTATCACTATCATACTGTATGCTGCAGTTGGCAAAACAATACTGTTATAAAATTGAAGCATTGTCTCAGTGTTAATAGTTGACATGGGTCAGATTGGGAACAACTGCTAAAATATACCAGTGCTATTTCAGTCCTGGATTTCATGTCTATCTTAGCATCTCCATCACTGCAAAATGTGCTTCCCAGAGGTGTGAACTGCTCTATCTCTTCAGTGTGTTCATGTCTGATAAGCGTTTTGTGCTTCCTGTAGCTTTCCTCAGTTGCATAACTTTTGTTTTGATGGTACTAATTTGAAGTGTAACTTTGAACTTCCAACTTCTCAGTCCTATCTTAAAAGCATTCCTTGGATTCTGCTATGACATGATATTATCTGTGAAATCATTTAGGTGGTAATTGTCATAAATTTCCAAATCCAAGGAGGGGTGTTGTTGTTTTTTCCAAATATGTGTGCATCACAACCTGTTTTAAGGATGGTAGAAACTTTTCGTCCTGCAGTTATATGTTAACTACTTCTTGGATCTACCCAATCATGTATCATCTAATCTAACTAAGACGGACAAGGATTGAACAAAATTGAACAATTCTTCAGCCACAAAAATTGAAAATGGTCCTCCATAATATATTACATACTGCATAAGATGCCTTATTAGATGCTATGGCAAAAGCATCTCCCAAGCCAGGGGTGGGGAATTAATTTTTCCAAGGGGCTACATAAGAAACCTCCACTATTGTGGAGAGCTATGGCCACCACCCTGCCACTGCCCCGCCCTCATTGCTACCACTGCTGCCCTGCCCCCTCCCCCACCTCAGATGCCCTACTGCCCACTGTTACCATTATCACAAACAGTAACAGCTGAAGGGCCAAATGTGGCCTGCGGGCTATAAAATATTGAGGTCTGCCCCAAACCATATCACAAATTTTGGTGAATAGCCAACATAAATTAATAAACTGCAAAGAAACCGCACCTGAGTAATTAACAGTTGAAAAAAAATGTAGGGTGTGGGTTTAATGACCAAGCCAATGGAGGAAAATGAGGGCAGAGGGATCTGAGGCCTATTGACAAATGTCCTGTATCTCTCACTCTCTGTGTAGGAGATGGGGGTGGGGTGGGAGGGTGGATTTATTTCAAGCAGTTTCATTTCAGATAACTGGCATCAGAGGTATTAGAAGAGCCTTGCGAAATATCAAAGGTCCTCTGGAAGTTAAAGTTATCTAGGGTAGGAAGAGTGATGTGTAAGCTCTTTAACACATGTTTGATCTATTCTAAGAGCTTAATTAACATACAGAACTCAGAATGCAGGATGAGGATCTTGTATGTGCTGATGTGTATCTTTGTATTTTGTGCTGCCACACTGAAAGTGAGATTAAGTCTTTTTTTGGCCTGAAACCAATTGACACAATATTCTCTTCCCTAAGGCCTAAGGTAATTATAAAGGAAGGCCTAAGATAATTGTAAGTGGGGATGGGAATACAAAAAAACCTATTCAGTTCTGACTGAATGGTGAGGAATGGAAGGATTTGGGTCAGGTGACCCTGAGGGCACAGATAAACCTCCAAGTGGCTTCAATGACTTTCAGAAAGAGTGCTAACAATCAGATGACTGCAAGGAATATAAATCCTTCCATCCTCCACCATTCATGGATGAGAAGTGAAACATCTTCAAGGTAAAACAAAGTCCAGGTGCCTTTTGAAGAAACACTTTTGGGACATTGCAGTTTTGTGACAGACAGTATGAGGCCAAATTGTCTTCATGTGCCATTTAGTGCTGGGAAAAGTGATAAGAATATCAGGATAATGTAATCCTTGGATTATGAGATGGAAAGAGAGGGGTTTACTGAAATCATAAACCCCATCTCCTGCTTCTTCCCAAATTTAGCCATATTCATCCTCTTCCTGACTATTAAAAAGAAGTAACTAAAGTGGCCATGACAAACCCCTAGTTATGGTATGGCTCTACAGCCCCCCTAAAGCAGTTGATAAGACATCATGCTGTCTGAAAAGGTGCATCAAACTTTATTTCTCAGATAAGCCTTTTCCAGTCATCCTATTTATAGAAAGGCAGAGTATCTAAAGACCAGACTATCCTTTTATAATTCCACCAGTGGTCCTTAGGAAGGTGGATTTAGCCCCTAAGTAATGTCTGATTTGAAGGACCTTTCAGTAGATGGAACATTGTTTTTAATGGGACAAAGCAAACCAGTATCCACTATGATACTGGCTTTCATTTATCCTTGCAAATTCTATAAAATTGGCGATAAGAGCTGAGAACAAAAATGAGTAAGAACGACTTGCCTGCAGACTTCCATGCGGAAGCGCACCTCCCCCCTTCCAAGATTTCTCTATAACCATCTTCTCTGGGAGATCATGTCTTGAAACACAAGGAAGTCATTAGTAGCTAATTTAGCCAAGCTGATTGCACTGATTTCATCTGGAATTCTGTCATTTTCTTAGTATTTCCCCTTTCTTAATAAAATTCTTTGTTATGTCTATAAATTTTGCTTCACTGGTTTTATAACAGAATTTTTCCCATGTTCAAGTTTGCATGGTTATATAGCTGCCCTTTATATATCAACATTGGACTAAGTTTTTTTTTTTAAGGATTTTGGAAAATTTAAAGCACCTTCCTATCCATTTTCCTAAAGTTGAGCTGAGGGACAGACTAGGAGGTATTTAACATGATTGGTGAGAATCGATCAGGAAAGTTTTTAAATTATTCCACCTCTCCCTGCCCCCCCCCACCATATTGTAAGAGTGGCCAATATAAATGGCCCAGCCCAATAACCTTGGACCAGTCACTCTCTCTCTCAACCCTAGGGAGCAAGTAAGGGCAAATCACTTTTGAAAATGCTGCCAAGAAAACTATAGAGACTTGTCCAGGAGTCAAAAAGATTTTCATGAAGTTTTCCTTCCCTCTCCCCAAATACGAAGCATCACAGCTTTAATATATGTGAGTACCAATTCCCATGTGCACTTCTAGGAAAGTTGCACTATTCCATAGTGGGCAAGTAGCTCTATATAGTTGCTACTGAATTAACTGGTGGTTTGCTGGTTGCTCCATGCTTTTGCCTAATTACAACTTGTCTAGATTTGGAAGAATTATACATACCTTGATGAAAATCTATTGCAACTCACCCTATGTGAGGCTAACTTGAATAGTGTCCAAAAGTTTTAACTGATACAAAATGTAACGGTTAAAGTGCTATTTGATGCAATGTGCAGATGTCATATGATGCCTGTTCTGAAAGATTTACAGTGGTTGCCAGTTGCTTACCAGACACAATTTAAGATATTGGTGTTAACCTTTAAAGTTCTATAAACAATTTTGGCCCTGACTATTTGGGGAACTTCCTTTCCCATTATGAACTTTCCAGATCAGCCACTGAGATTCTTCTGAAGATATTCTCTACTTTCAGAGACTTGTTTATTATTGAATGAATCATAACTATCAAGGTTGCATAGTTCTTCAAATCTGAAGTAAAAATGTATTTTAGAGCATGGCTGGCCACCTATGTAGCAACTTATTAAGCCAAGCACACCTATGTCCTTTGATGAATAGAAATAGAAATAGAAATAGAATAGAACAGAACAGAACAGAATAGTATAGAATGTGAGACAGTTTCCCTTTGGAGAGCATCTGTATGACCCTTCATGCCTCTGAAGCACCTTTTTGGCCTTCAGATATATAGCAGGAACCCTAATAGTTACAGCTATTCATGAATGCCAATTGGTGCAGTTAGAGCTGAAGTACAGAGCACCATCCCCCCAGAGCACTGGGGAATCCCAAATGACCATCCAGACAATGGAAGGGGTCAGAGGAACTGGCTTGATATTTGGGTCTAGTTGTATTGTACAGCACTGAAAAAAGTCAGGTCAATCATCCCCCCCCCTTTTTTTTTCCTTCTACACCCTTGCACTCTTGGCCACTTTCCTTCTTTCCTCTTTCTTTTCCGAACTTTGTTTCTATTTGTATTTTATAGCAATAGCACTTAGACTTATATACCGCTTCACAGTGCTTTACAGCCCTCTTTAAGCTTATAGAGTTATACTATTGCCCCCAACAATCTGGCTCCTCATTTTACCAACCTCGGAAGGATGGAAGGATGAGTCAACCGGTGAGGATCGAACTCCCAAACTCCTGGCAGCTGGCAGTCAGCAGAAGTAGCCTGCAATACTGCATTCTAACCACTGTGCCACCATGGTTCTTACATATTTTATATTATAACAGTCTAATAAAAACAATTAAAATACATTATTCTTCTCTGCAGTGGAAGCGTGCTTATTCTCAAGTAACACATGGTCTTTCTGTAAGACCATTAAGTCTAAGATCTAAAATTATCTGTTTGTACCACTGACCAATAGCTGATCCAGTGCCAGGAACACTTTTTGTACAGTATCAGATTTCAGGTGTGCAGTGAATTTAAATGGTGATGCATTATTTCCATCGCTATCCTTGTGGCTCTTTAGAGATTTAGAGCCAAGGACATTCAGGTGATGATGTAGAGAAAACAGTGAAGGAAGAATTGATCACTGGAGGAAGGTAGTATCATACTTGCAGAGATATGATGGCAGCATAGATGAAAGGGAGTCAATCAGAGCTACTATAGCAAAGGACATGTATCAGCAATGCAGAGAATACAGAAACCCAATAATATAAGGCAAGAAAGAAGTCCCAATATGAGCAAACATTCTGCTTTTATGCTACCATCATTCCTTTGGTGTGTGTTGTCTTCATTAAGCTTATATCTCCAGAGTGATTTTTGGACTAGCCGGGGTCAGCCTGGGAATTAGCAGTCCTCATATGGCTCCCGGCTGGTGGCCATGCTGAATAAGCGTTACCCGATGCTTTGAAATACACCCTTTACATTCCACTCTGCAAGGAAGGCCGTTTGTATAAATAAGCATGACACAACAATCCAAATTTTTTACATGAGGCAAAGATGTTAAGGAACTGGAGTGTCCTATAATATATTTATTTAGAAGTAAGTCTTGTATGAGACTGAGATAAGCACACATATGTTTGCAAAGTAAGTCTGTGAGCTATGAATCTTTCTGGGGAGAAAACTCTACTGAATAGAGCTATGCATTTGAGTGAGTATTCATTAACTTAGGCTACAAAGTACTGAAAAAAAATAATTTGGCTTAGATGAAGATGACTGCCAATGACTTAGAATGACTGCACATTTCATGCAGGCTTCAGTGACAATCTAATAATTGCACAAAAACAAAGGGGGAGAGAGGCAGCAGTGAAATATGTAAACTTTTCTACTCTTGCTCAAAGACCTCTAACCTTTTCTTATGCAGACCAGGACATTAGCATAGAAAGCTTTGGGGAACTGTTGTTTAATCCAGGGGTAGACAAAGAAGCACCTGTGGACAACATGGAGTATACATATGTATATATATCCATGTTAAGAA